GATGTCAATGATAAGTACATTTTATACGTTTATTCGAGCTTCTATTCTTAATCATTTTTATTTAAATTGAGTGAATATTCACTTAATCTATGTAAATTATGTATATTGTAGGAAAAATCTCAATTTAGATACAATTTTTGTGAAAAAGAGGCTATTTGAAACTCAATTGAAGTTGATTTAAAGCAATTGGAGATTCACCGAATTGCAAGAGATCAAATGGAAGTATTAATGAAACATTCATTGGTAGAAACCAATTTGAATTCTTTGGTAAAAATCAAGTTGAACAATGATTTTCCATAAATCTTTTTCTATAAATACATACCTTAGTCCAACAATTAAGGAGGTTTGAATAGTTTCATTATACATATACATACAAGCCAAGGCTTGGGGATTTATTGTATATATATTATTCAAGCCAAAAGAAAGAAAAAAAATCAAGAAATCAATCAAGGAGCTAGGGTTTCAAGGATTTTACAAGAAGGTGCAAACTCTTGGTGCAAGATCTCCATCTTTTTATTGTTTTTCCTTAATACCAAACGATGTACCTTAATTCCTCATTTTTTTATTCTCCCATGATGTGCAATTAAGTAATTAATTAGGATGAATGATTGTAATTTAGGGTGCGTTTGATTGTTAATATTTTCTACGAAAAATGTATTTTTTTCATCCAAATTCATACTTTTGTATTGTTTGATTGTCATTTTTTCTATAAAAAATCATTTTTCTACTTTTGGTCACGTGACTATATTTTTCCAAAAATAAAGGAAATATTTTATTTAGAGGGATTATGATTTTATTTTTTAGGGAATCCTCTTGCTCTTTCTCTCTCATCCATCCATTCTCTTTCATCTATCCACCAACAAAAAATAAACAAGTATAATATTTTCTAGATTAAAAACTAAATCAATCAAACACATTTAATTAATAATTTCCATTTATTTTCTTTCCATGCAAATTTCATACTTACAATCAAACGTACCCTTAGTTTTGAACTTTATTTTTAATTAAAAAGTTTTAAATTTTCAGCTGATTTTGTGAATTGTGTTTACTTCTATTCTTAATGCTTAGATTAACTAGCCACTAATTCATTGATTTTGTGAACAATAATTATATGGAGATGCAGATTATTTATTTAGATAACATATTAAAATCCGGTAATTAGTATAAGACATAGAGATATTTATGCTAGTTATTGTGTCGTTATATGAATTATTAGAAACTAAATGCATTTAACTAAGATATATCCGAATTCACGTAGAGATATGAAATTGACTTAGTTAAATAGAATTGGTGAGAACTCGAGAGGGATAAATTGAATACATTTGAAGAATTCGATTGGAAAATACATAATCAATTGTATAAATTTGGTAATTGAGATTAATGGGATAATTATGGTAAAACCATGAATTCTAACACTTAATCCATCATATAAAAATTCGTTTTTACTCGTTTTAGTACATTTAAATTATAAAAAAATAAAAATAACTGCTTTATTTATTTTTGATCAAATTGAAGTTATGAATAATTGAATCAATTGTTGATGGTAATCCTCGTGGAAACAATATCGAGACTCATAGATCCACTTTACTACTTGTTATGATTCGTACACTTACAGGATATAAAAATCAACAACAATCAATAAGTTTAATTTTAGGATAGTAAACAAGTTGATGATTCGCTCTAAAGACGAATAGAAATACATTATATAAAATCTATTTTAAACAGACTTTGATGGCTAAAATATTATTTGCTGGTCTTAATAATGAATGAAGTCAAGTGAAGGGTTGCATAAGAACTAGTAATGAAAGATTGAGGTAAAGGTATGATCACCACTTTTATTAACTGCCCCGAGATTGGAGGTGGGCAGTTTTTCTTGGAACCTTATAGAATCGATTGATTTGGTTCCAGTTCCTCTACTAAATGGGTCGACTTTGGGACCATACATTGAGAACCAATCGGTTTCGATCCAATTCTTGGTTCTACTCTAAAAACCAATAGTGAATTCGATTCTTCCAAATTTCTCTTTTTATTTGCATCAAGATGTACTAAAATTTTTAACAATAGACCCAAAATTATGTCACGTTAAAATTTATTTTCTGCACACTTCTTCTTTACTTTAATGGGTAATCAAAATTCAAGTCTAAATAATTTATAAATACTTTACAAATTCATAGCTTTAATGCAACTCAATAAGGAAAAAAAATATTTTTAGTTCAATACTTTATTAGAATTCAACTTTCTCATTATTTTCAAAGTGACCGACCATCAAGAATCAAGAACTTTGGAATTAATAAATATAATCAGATAAATTGTTATATAAATTTTCTTAAAAATTAATTTTCAATCGAAATTTTCGACTTATGATATGTTTGATAGTGTATCATTTTTTATGGTCTTTGTGAGTCGATCTTGAACTTTGGAGTGGATTTTTATTTATAG